CGACTCTTTGCGACCCCATGGAGTGTATAGAATGGCCTGAATTCTCCAGGCCACAATACTGGAGTGGGTAGCCGTTCCTTCTCCAGGGGATCTTCCCAACCCAGCGATCGAAGCCAGGTCTCCCGCACTGTGGGCGGATTCTTTACCAGCTGAGCCACCATCTCCTGGCTTCACTGTAAATGGAATTCTAATGGCAAGCTCCCCAAGCAAGCAAGTCACTGTAAGTTCTACAGATAATGAGGTAAACAGTTGATATTCAATACAGGAGTGAAATTCACCACTTGCATGAATTTGCATAGCTGATAATCAAGCCCAATAGCAATTTCCCCACAACCTGTTTTTGTGGACTTATTTCTTATAACTTTCTCCATTTCCGCTACACTGAGCCACACTCACATGCTGAAACAATCTACTTTTGGGATCTGGGATCTGGTTAGACACCTTATGGCTTATCCATAGAATGGAATACCATGTTGCCATTAAAAGGGAATACCTGAACCAGTTGATGAAAGATGTCCAGATATCTTATGAGTTGGGTGAGACAAGGCACACAACCTATGTAAAGTAGGATAATCTAATGCCATACTTGCAAGGATATTGCTCAATGTACATGGGTGCACATGCACACAGACACACATGTGTGTGTGCTGGTATATGCATAGGTTATCTCCTGTATAGTTCCACGGAGAGCTGTTAACACAGATCCCTTTTGGAGAGAGGGCCCAGTAGAGCAGGTAGGCATTCGCTATTCTTCTTACTCTTTCTGTGCAATTGACACCCCCACCAGAAGCAACAAACAACCTCTGATGAATTGCTTCATTATCTGTAATTCTTATTGTCCTTCCATCCCTTCCTGCCCACAGCCTGATGGGAGGCACAGGTGAGGGAAGAATGGCACTTTGGAAGTCCAGTGATCCCCATTCTCAACTCAGCTCCACACAAGGTCATCTCAGGATGACCTTGGCCCGGCCCCATCCCCTCCCTGCCCCCAGCCTCCATCTGGAGAGCTAGGACGGTGCCAGAGCCAATGACCTCCACAGGTCCGCCTGCTCAAGGATTCTCTGGCTTTCTCTGGTCTATTTTTGCCTGATACCTCTCCCAGGGGCCTGTGGGTCTGAACTAATTTCCCTGGCTGGCCCTGATCCAGGCAGCTCGGTTGGATAGTGCCGAGCTAATGAGGCCAAGGTCATGGGCCAGTTAGCGGCTCTTGGAGGAACCCATGGCCAGACTGCAGCTGGACTGCAGCTCTCCCGCCAGTCTCTGGGCTCAGGCACAGGGGGAATTGATGAGAGCTGCTCTGGGGCCCAGTCCAGTTACCTTTTGTGACTGCAGCACAGGGTCCCCCCAGTCATATGACAAAGAAGGGGGTATGTAGGGTAGGGGTGGGGAGAGAACCAGATGGTTTAAAAAAGTGCATTCCCCTGCCTGCAAGCAGGCCACACCTGATCAAGCCAGGAGGATGAGAACCAGTTTTATTTCTTTAAAGCCAAAGCAAGAGGGTATGCCCACATTCTGTCGGGCCCACCCACAGTGTATCTTGTCTCCCTCTTTCTGAGTCACATCCTTGCCTCCTAAGCCAGGGTGAGGTAGAGGAGGGCTTCCTCTTTTATTACTTGTCACAAGGACAGGGGTTGACTGTTTTATTCAGTGCTGCATTCCTAGCATCTAGATGAATGCCTGGCATGCACAGTAGGAGCTCAATAAATATTGCTCAAGTGCATCAACTCACCTTTGTTCAGAGAGGCTGTGGACTGCATTCAAAAGGACCTGGCATTGCCAATGGGTTCTACTTGATAGTTTTCAAATATTTCTATTTCAAAAAATCTGTGGAAGCTTGATATTTAGAGAAAAACCCTGTGAAGCCTCTAGGAAAAAAAGAATAATTCCTTTTATAGTAGGCCACCCCTTCCTAACTTGAATATTTGGCAAGTTTGAATTTTCTTCTTCCAGGTTTTTCAACTCAGTTCAGTGAGTGTTTATTATTAGGTATTGTACTATATTATTAATTTTTGAGTTCATCCCATCAGCCAGGCTTTGGGCTAAGCACAAAACAAGTATTGATTTATTTAATTTTCATAACAACTGTGTAAGATGGGCACTGCCGTCCTTCCCATTTTACAGATGAGAAAACTGAGGAAGACCGAGGTCAAGGAATTTGGTTAAGCTCATGTGTACGGTGAATCAAACTCCAGAACCCATGCTCCTGATCACAACTACTGCTGGGACTTATTTTGCATGCAATATCCATCTACGAGGTACTGGTGATTTAACAATGAATGAGGCCTTTGATAAGTGAGAGGTTAAACAGACAGTGATATATCTACACCATGGAATATGACTCATCAATGAAAGGGAAGGGATGGTTGGTACATGCAGCAATCTATGTGACTCTCCAGAAAATTATGCTGAGTGTGAAAAGGCAGCCCTCCAAAGTTTCATACTACATGATTCCATTTATATAACATTCTCAAAAAGACAAAATTATGGACATAAAGAGGAGACTGGGTAATGCCAAAGACTATGGAGAGATGGAGTTGACAAAGAAGTAGGCTATGAAAGGGCAACATGAGGGATCCTTGAGGGGATGAAAAGACTGTATCTTGATTCCATCAGTGTTGACCTGGCTATGATATTGAACAGGAGGCAAAAGAAGCAGTATTTGGTACAATAAAAGACAGAAGCCTTTAGTCCCAAAGTAGAGAACTGTACGGATGCGTGCTAAATCTTTGTGAGTGTGTGTGTTTGCACATATAGCATTTAAATGTTTATCTGCCAACATTTAAACATTTTGCAAGATTTTACCATTGAGGGAAACTGGGTAAAAGGTACATGGGACCTCCCTCTATTATGTTCTACAGATGTGAAGTAGAGTTTCATTTTAAAAAAGAATGAGTGCATTCCTGCCTGCAAGGAGCGCTCTCCTGTGTAGGGAGTGAGATCCCATGCCAGGTGCCCAGGTAAATTCTGTACATCATGGTAGGGTGACGTGGCGGGCCCGAGAGGGCTTCCAATGCAGGGACGGTGGAACTGAGTTCTCAAGCATCAGCAGCTCAGAGGGGAGAGCAAGGCGTCCGAGGCAGGCAGGAGAGCATGAACAAGCAGGGCACCTGGGTCTTCTTTCCCCAAAGTCCCCTCTGGGGGCCACAAGATCTCAGACTATCCCATTGCAAAAACTCATACAGTGGGCTAGTTCCCACCTTGTACATACAAATGTGAAGTGATGGACAGAATTATCGCCTTAAAGTTTTTGTTCAGCCTTTGGTGCCTGCTGAATTATTATCCAGTAGAACCCAATCACAGGAGAAAATGACTCCCTTGTCAAACATCACACCAGAGAGCAAGCATCTTTGTCAGCCTGTCAAGATCAGCCTTCGAGTTCAATTTAGTAAAAAGGCAGATGTTAATGTTCTTCCTATTAAGAGATAATTTCTTTGTTAAATGCGTGGGTGTTTTTTTTGACTTGATAGATCTAATTCTACTTTACATGTAGTAGCAGCTGAGTGGTGGAAAGAGTGAGTGCTTTGGGGTCAGAGGACCCTGCATTTGAATCTCAATTCTACCACTTTCTAGCTCTGGTCTTGACCTTCATTCTCCCTGAACCTCCGTCCCCTGATCTCTGCAGTGAGACTAATTATGCTAAACAGCCTTGCAGTACTGAATCCATAGTGAGGATTGATGAGGAAACATTTGCCAAAGAGCCTAGTATAATGCCTGACACATAGTAAGCACTCTATAAATGACACTCATAACTACTAATAATTCTACTTTATGTAGAAATTTAAAAGTAGGTACCTTTTACGGTGCTCTGCAAATAATACTATATCTCCAGCGTTTTGTTTGTATCAGTCAGGATAGTCAAGGTTATGCTGTAGTAACAAACAACCCACGGATCTCAGGGGTTTACAACAACAACATTTATTTCTTGCTCACACTACAGATCCACAGTGGATCACGTGCAATTCTGCTCCTGTAGTCTTCTCTCCTGGACCCAGGATAAGGGAGCAGCCAGCTGCTGGCACATCACTGGTGGTCATAGTAGAGGAAAATGGTCTTCTAATCAGCATTAAATGCTGTGTGGTTTAGAAATGACACATACCATTTGCATTCAAAACTCATAGGTCAGGGACTTCCCTGGCAGTTAAGTGGTTAAGACTTTATCTTCCAATGCAGGGGGTGTGGGTTTCATCCCTGATTCAGGGAACTAAGATGCCATATGCCTGGGGGCCCAAAAAACCAAAACATAAAGTAGAAGCAATACTGTAACAAATTCAATAAGACTTTAAAATATGGCCCGCATTAAAAGAAAAATCTTAAAAAAGAAACTCATTGGTTAGAACTGGTGACACATTCCCACCGCACCTTAAGACAGGAAGTAGAATCCTGTCTTGTGTCTGGAAGGCAGGGGAGTAATCACAAGAATGTAGCCAACAACTCTGCTGACAACCACAAAGCTTTTGAGAACCACCGCCCTGCCCAGAGGGACAGCTGAACTGGGAAGGAGGCAGGAACCATGGGGAGAAGGTGGAAATACACAGAGGGGTCCTACTCAGCAGGGGGTGGGGGGTGCTGGTGACCTCAGGTCAGTGGGCAGGTCTGAGGCCAGAGGAGCTCTGGGTGCCTTTCTCATCTGGACCCGACCCAAACAGAACGTGGCCTGTTCTCATCTCTGGGCAAACCAGCCCACCTTGCTGGGAGGTGCGAGTCCCACATGCCCAACAAGGATGATTAAGCTGCATGTAACCTGCTTCTCTGGCCCTCCAGGACTTCCCTGGTGGCTCAGATAGTAAAGAATCTGCCTGCAATGCAGGAAGCCAGAGTTTGATCCTTGGATCGGGAAGATCCCCTGCAAGAGGGCATGGCAACCCCCTCCAGTATTCTTGCCTGGGAAATTCCATGGACAAAGGAACCTGGTGGGCTACAGTCCATGGGGTCACAAAGAGTCGGACACGACTGAGCGACTAACACTTCACACTTCACTTCCAGTTATGGGCAAGACGGAATCACAAAGCAGTATTTCTCTGACTCCACTTCTCCTGTTTTGCTGGGTTCCAGGACCTATTGGATTCTTCTAAGAGTTTGGGGGAGCCCCCAGACAGGGTCTCTTGTGTGCCCGCATCCTGCCCCTTGGGCTCCTTCCCGATACCACCCTGGGTCCCTCCCTGCCCTACCTCTCCTGTAACGGCTAGCGTCAGAAGCAGCCACTCAGCCGGCTTTGTCCTCCTGGTCCCCGGGGGCTGCAGACAAGCGGCTCCATCAGCAACGATGCTTGTGCCGACAGCGCCACCTCCTGTCCCTTCAGAGGCTGCTGGCCAAGTCCGGCGCTCAAAAGGCAGCCCCTGCAGGGCGTTCAGCACGTGTCCTGCTGTAGGGAAGCTGGGGTGGCCTCTGTGGCAGCCCCATCCATTCCCTTTCCGACCCCCATCAACTGTCTTCCAGATTACTGATCTCGGGTCTTCTTCTGATCTTAACGGGTGCCGGGCCTCTGCCTTGAAACCTCTAACCACCACTTTCTTCTTCATCCTCCTCCACCCTCACTCAGTCTTCAAATGTGAGCCCAAATGCCATTTCTTCAGGGAAGACTTCCTTGATTTCTCAAACTAAATGGAGTCTCCCAGCATGAGATCTTTCTCCTACATGTTGGATTGGCAGGTAATAATGGAGGGACCAAAAGAAGGGACACCCATTGGTCAAAAATATTTCCAGACAGCAGATTCTCCATATTGCTCGTGAGACTTGACACCTCGCCGGTGACAAGCTGCTCACACGTCCTTCGCAATCTTTAGGGGAGAGGGGTAGACCTGTCAGATGCATTGGCCTTGGTGAGAAGCTTCTGTGGGTTTCTAGTTTGCCCCTATACCCTAATGCAGGTACATGGACGTGTTGACCTGACCAGCTGGGAAAGGAACCTTCTGTGTTCTGTTTGCCATGGATGACCCGCAGCTTCCCTGGATGAGGGACAGCAGCTATTTTCTTGCCAACGGGGAATCTGGCGGAGGCCAGGAAAGGCAAACCCAGTGCTCTGGGGCATGGCAGTTTCCCAAGAGGCCCATGGTCTCCCAAAGCTGCTTGTCATCCCAGCATTGTTCCTACTGTATTTTTAAAAGTTGAGGAAACTCAGTAGCAATACCCACATTCAGGCATAGGTAGGTAAATTAGGTGTGGGCTTCCCTGGTGGCTCAGCGGTAAAGAATCCACCTGCCAATGCAAGAGACGCAGGTTCGAGCCCTGGGTTGGGAAGGTTCCCTGAAGAAGGAAATGGCAACCCACTCCAGTATTCTTGCCTGGAAAATCCCATGGACAGAGGAGCCTGGTGGGCTACAGTCCATGGGGTCGCAAAGAGTCAGACACGGCTGAGCGACTAAACAACAACAGGTAAATTAGGGTCCATCCTTACTAGGGAATACTAGTGCCTGAAGGAAAGCATGCATCCCATGGTTGCTGTCTCCTGGGGTCACCTGTCTATATCCTAGGTGGTCTGGGAACCCATGCAGAGCCTCGGCATCTCTTAGTCACCCCCACCCCTTTACCCTTCAGAGGCATGTTCTTGTGATTAGTGGCTTAGTCATGTCTGACTCTGCAACCCCATGGACTGTAGCCCACCAGGCTCCTCCATCCCTGGGATTTTTTCAGGCAAGTGTACTGGTGTGGGTTTTCCTGCCCTCCTCCAGGGATCTTCCAGACCCAGAGATCAAACCCACGTTCCCTGTGTCTCCTGCATTGCAGGTGGATTCTTTAACCTGCTGAGCCATTGGGGGCATGGAAAGAGCAGTTCTGAATCCAGGCTCGGCTATCTTCGATCTGTTACCCAAATCTTTCTGTGCCTCAGTTTCTCCATTTGTCAAATGGGGACAATAATCCTGTTTTCAAAGGCCATGTTCCTCCTCCCCCTGTCCCCATGTCCCCAGGATCACTAATCAGTGAGGCCTGGCTGTTATCACCTCTGTATATCCCAGTCCCCAGTCTGAGATCATGGGTCACTGAGTTATAACCCCACCCTCCCTCCAGTATCCAAGATACACCCGAAAGGGAAACTGAGCTCTCACAGAGTAAGTCCCTGGGCACCAGCCTCAATGTCAGCCCCACCTCTAGGTTGGCCAACACAGAGGACAGTCCAGGTTCAGAACCACTGTTCAGACCCGGTTTCAGAGGGTTCAGATCAGCTGGGGTTGCACAGGCCCTGGCACTTTGTGACTGTGCGACCTTAGTTTCTTGTTCACTCTGGGCTCGTTTCCTGCTGCCCCTTCTCCAACCCCAAACCTACTTCATCCCTGGCTCTTGGCTTGCAGCCTGGGATGTAAGAGGTCCTCAGTGATACCACACATGACCTTTGTTGTTTGGGCTTTTTGTTTGTTTTTGTGGTTTTTTACTCAAGCACCTCTAGTAGAATGATGCTGGTATAAAGTGGGTTTCCCAGTGCTCAGTGACGATCTAGAGAGGTGGGATTGTATCTAGGTTGGGGTGGGAAGAAGGTTCATGAGGGAGAGGACATACGTATACCTATGGCTGACTCATGTTGATGTATGGCAGAAACCAACAAAACATTGTAAAGCAATCATCTTCTAATTAAACACACTTTTTTTTTTTTAAAGAAAAAGGAATAAAGCTTATTTTATACCCAGGGAAAACAATAAAGTGGGTTTACCCAGCACATTCAAGTTTTGAAAGCAATCTGGGGCAAGTTTTCACACGATCAAACAGAAAGACTTGGCAAAAGCTGACGGTCTGTGGGACATGCCAGACCATCTTTTCCTGTCACCCTACAGACCTGAATCATTCCTGGCTGCCCCCTTCTGTACAAGTCGTGGCTGGTCAAGTGGCTGCAGACACTCTGAGGTTTCTATGACTTAAACTCTTTGGTGAAGCTGTGAGTACAGATTCAGAGGCTGAGTGGTCATTTCCCACTGCATTAAAATGATGGGTTAATCCAGAAGGCTACACCCAGGATTTGATTTTTATTTTGGAAGAAATAGCCTCCATAAGAAGCAAAACTCACTAGTACTTACATCCAGAAGAAAAAAATCAGGAGCCCCAGGACCCAAGGCTGCAAAGCGTTGCTGGGCAGTGACGTTAGACACATGTTTATGCGGAGGTTTAACCAGGGAGGAATTTTTAGCAGGATTGTTATGATTCTGGTTAGTGTGTGTCTTGCTGTATCTCACGGTTCGCTTGGCCCAGGGTAGGCAAGGCATGAGCAGGGAAGCTGGAGGAAGACAGGAGCTATAGGAATGGCAGACGTGTTTGTTTGAAGCAGCAAGGTAGACGTGCTTTGCTCTAACGGCTGAGAGTAGGAGTGACGATGATGACAACTCCACAGAACTCCAGGCACCTCGACTTGCCTCTCTTCATCTACAAGAGAGCTTCAGGTGGTGCTTACATAGGACCGCACCGTGATGTGCATGTGCAGTGCCACAAATGATCCCAGCTGTAGGACAGGAGTGGAGTGGGGCGAGAGAGCCTGACCACCGACACCTGGCAAATTGCTCTCTCCCTACAGTGTGCTAGTCATGAAATTTCATAGGTTTGGGGGCATCTTTCCCACCCCTCTTTTTCATAAGCCCTATTAGCTGTGGTGTAGGAACACACGTGGGTGTCTGACCAGAAACAGCTGTACTGATGGTTGTGTCGGATACTCTTTACTGACTGAGTGCATCCAGGTGTTTGCTCATGCCATTTCCTCCACTGGAAACATGTCTGTAACCTGGAAAGATCTAGATCTTCCTCCAGAGCCCAAAGCAGACAAAACCTACTTCAAGAAACCTTCCAGAGTCCTCCCCGGAGGGTTCCTCCTGGCCAGTTTCCTTCTACTAGATTCTGATGACTAGACTGTGGCTTTCCCAAGTACATCCACGTATCCTCAGTGTCCTGAGCAAGACCTAGGCTTGAGTGGGAAGAGGTGAATTGCGTTTTGAATGAAAGTAGAAGTTAAAAAGCAGGGGTTGTTGGAGAGTGGTGCTCAAATGCACACTGAGGCTCCTGGGAGCCTGTTTACAGGAAACCTGGATTTTTCTGCAGTGGCTTATCCCTGTTTGACCACACCTCCTTTTCTCAAGAGACAGAGGAAGCTGAGGGAGTGGCAAGGATTCAACTTGGAAGGGACCAGAGGAAGGAAAGCAAATCCTGTTTCCTGCCTGCTGACTGTGGAGAGCAGTGATTCACTGTGGAGGGCTTGTGATGCTAAGGATTTTTTTTTGGTCACTCTTTGCAGCGTGTAGGATCTTAGTTTCCCGACCGATAATCGAACCTTTGCTCCCTGCACTGGAAGTGCAGAGATTTAACCACTGGGTCACCAGAGAAGTTCACTGAGGTCTTTATAAGCAGTTACAAATTTAATTTTCTCATCCACTCCAGGAGGGAGGTACCCATTTCAGAAATGAAGACATCAAGGCTCAGGGACTTCACTGGACAAGCCACAGGTGGTCCAGTGGCTAAGACTCTGTGCTCGCAATGCTGGGGGGCCAGGGTTCAATTCCTGGACAGGGAGCTAGATCCCACATATTCCAACTAAGAGTTCACAGGCCATGGCTAAAAATCCCCCATGCAACTAAAACCCAGAGCAGCCAAGTAAATATATAAAAAAAGAAAGAAATCAAGGCTCAGAAGAGAAACAACTTATCTAAGATCTCAGAGATAAAAAGAAAAATAGAAGCCCAGGTCTGACCCTAAAGTCCTTTCTTCACCATTCTGATTTATGTCCAAGGGGAAGGGCCTGCTTCCCTAGGATAGAGGTCATGGGGCACCCTGGACCCTGGAGAGCCTGTGGAAGGACAGGAGGAGTGAAGGGTATGATTCTATCAGAAGAGCGCTTGACCATTTGCAATTCATTTACTTTTTTATCATGTAATTCTCCTGAGGAGGGGCAGAATTATTATCTTATTATGTAGGTGGGGAAACAGGTGAAGGCAGGGACGCGATTTGTTCAGATCACACAACAAGTCAGCGAAAGAAGTAAGGCTCAAAAATCATTTCAGACAAGCTCCTGACAAGCAGACTCTCTTGCAGGCAACAACCACAGACTCTAGACCTGGTACAAAGTACAAAACACAAAAGTACAGAGTGCAAAACCGCCATGTGAGGGCTCAGGAGAAGGAGCAGAGAAGGAAGATTTTGAGGGGAGTCAATAACCCTAAATATTAATTGGAGGAACTGGTACTGAAGCTGAAGTTCCAATACTTGGTTACCTGTTGCGAAGACTCTGGTTACCTGGAAGACTCTGACACTGGGAAAAAGTGAAGGCAAGAGGAGAAGGGGGCAACAGAGGATGAGCTGGTTGGATGGCATCATTGACTCAATGGGCTTGAGTCTGAGCAAACTCTGGGAGATAGTGAAAGACAGGGAAACCTTGTATGCTGCAGTTCACAGGGTCACAAAGAGTTGAACACGACTTAGAGATTGAACAATGAACAACAACAAAATATGGATTGAACGATGGGCAGAGGACAAGTTTGTCATTTTTTTGTGTGCTTTCCCTTGAAGGAAGCTGCAGTTCTGAGACAGATAGAAGGGACTGAAACTATGATAG